GGGGGGGGGGGGGGGGCGGGGGATACACACAAAAAGTCATTCAAATAAATTTTGATAGTAAGCCAGTCTGTGATTGATTAAATATAGGTAGGTAGATATTTTATTAACGTCACGCTAGAGATGCACCATGGGCTGTTGGAGACGGTTCGAGAAACATCCCCGAGAATGATCCGACGACGTGCCATCATAATTTTGATCCTCTGCAGAGGGGATGGCTCCTTTGCTTTGGTAGTGTGGCGACCTGTGCTCGAAGTTGAGAACTTGGTAGAACAGTTTAACGGGGATCAATACCGCACACGCTTGGTCCCTACGTAGTCTGATCAAAGTGGTCACCCACCCCCTTACTGACCACAGTAAGGGGGTGGGTGACCTGGCTTGCTATCAGATTCTGTGTCTTTACAATCCTTACAATCTGTGTCAATTACAGTCTTTATAATTGTTTACTGCTAGGAAATATAAGTTAATAGATTTACCTTGTTTTTATATGGAATTTTATTTTTATTTGGAATTTTTTATTTAAAGGAGAAAAATGGAATCACAGTGGATAATTTTTTTTTTATGTAGTTGCTACATATTTTACATCTAAAGAACTGAATTAATTATATCTTAAGTATTGTAAAGTTTATTCTTAATTTTAGTATGATTAAAAGTTATTAAATATCTCTATCTTAATTTTTTAGGCTCATGCTACTTCAGTTGAACAGTTTATAGGTGTTGGCATTAGGGTAAGATACTGGAATTTAGCATTTATTATAATCTTTGTTGCCTGCTTATTTTATATACTTATTTTTTGTCGAGCTTCTTGATTTATAATATTAGTTTCACATGGTGTGACAATCCCCAATATATTAAAGCACCATTTCTTCCAGGGACCTTTCATTTTAAGAAACAGCTGTTTATAAACTGGTATATCAATCTGCATTAGAAAAGAAAAAGCATTAAAAATTTATTTTCACAAATGCACTAAAAGCTAAATTTATTACTATTTTTATCTTTTATTATGAATGTATTTTTTAAATTAATTTTGATGTTTTAGCTAAATCTTAGCAACATTTTTATATGAACAAAAAGATTTTAAAATATTGGCACATTGTTGTAAAAAAATGGAGGAGTAACTTTCGAAACAAAGATTATGCTTTTGTAAGTTACTATCATCTCAGAACACATATTTTTTTTTATAACTAACATATTAATTGTGAAAGGCTAATACCTTAGAATTAGCCATTTAATATTTAGCCATCCCCAAAAAATGTTTTTGTTCAACAGTTTTACCAAGTAATCGAAATTCATGTCACAATTAGCTGAACTTCATTCATTTGAGAAGGATATTGTTGGGTTGAGTAGCGAGGAGGACAGGTAAGGAAAAAGAGTAAATTTTTTGGGTGATCAAAAGTATTTTGTGAAATCAAGGGCCATTAGGAATTGTATTTAGGTAAAAGATTTGTTTTTCTATTATCAGTATGACGTTATATTATTTTATTTTATAACCGTTATTGAACGGCCGTCCAAATTTTCGTGTTTACCGACTACCAATGTTCAACTCCTTAACCTTGTAATCTTGAACTCAATCCAGAAGGCAAGAGAACTCCTGGGTCAAGTATTGGGAGAAAATTGCCTTTGTGGAAGGCCTTTTGATGAAACTAACCCGCATTTGCGTTACATGGAGGGGAAAACCACTAGAACCTCCCACGATTAGTTTGGCAGCAAGGGGGCTCTTACCCATGATCCATCTACCACACCACTAAAGATATTTAACGTCGGCACTGTGGTCCGTGCGAGCTGGATGCGAAATTCATATCTACCGATTGTCACTGGGATTCGAATCCGGTTTACATTATTGGAAGGCTAACGCTCTGTCCCCTAAGCCATCACGGCTCTATTAGTGTTATTGAAGTTTGTCTGCTTTACCAAATTTATTAAAAGTAATTCATAAATCATGTCCCTTGAATATCACACTCTCTCTATATACAGGGATGAGATTTTTCCTCTTTTTAGCGAATTTCCGCCTTTTCGCTTTTGTCTCTTGAATTTCAGCTTCTTTTTTTTTTTAATCAAGAACTCCAATTTTCTATAAGTTTCAGTTTTTTCTTTAAAATAAATATTATTACACTTTTTCTGAAAATTCAGCTGTAGAAATAAAATAATTATATTTCTTTCCGATTTTCAAAGATAAATAGAAAATTCAAACTATGCGTAGCTGCCAACCCTTCCACTTTTACTCCACTTTTACGTGCAAAAAAATAAGATTTTCTGCATTTTTACCTGCCCACCAGATGGCTAATATTTTCATAATTCAGACGTCACAGCATTTTTTTCCAAACATCGATTTTCTTATTTACTTGATTTAAAAGTTGTGCATTGCGATTCTTATTTATGCAATTTCAATATCATACATTGCAATTGTTATTTACGAGATTTAAAAATCCAATATTGCTATTTGTATTTGCGCGTTTTTAAAATCCTATGTAGCAATTCGTATTGCCTTGAGTTTAAAATCCAATGTCGTGATTCCTTTATGAGGTTGTAATATCAAACATCTATTTTCTTATTTACACGTGATTTAAAAATTAGGCTTTGGATTCATATTCACGCGATTTAGAAATTATGCATCATGATTAGTATTTACGCGATCTAAAAATTAGGCATCATGATTTGCATTTTCAGATTTTTGAAATCCAATTTAGAGTTTCATATTCAAATGATTTCAAAGTCCTGGATCGCTATTTGTATTCACGCGATTTTAAAATCCATTATCGCATTTCTTATAACAGGTAAGTTTTTTTCTTGAATTTGTTACTATATAGGTGGCAGTTGTTCTATCTAGGATTATTGGTGTGTATATATAGGCATTACAACATCAGCTAAACTGGATGAAAATATGTTACTGATATTTATGCTATAAATCACATAATAGTATTCTTTAATAAAAAAATGAAATGTTAATGCATGTTCTCAGTAATTTAGTGTGCTAAACTAGGCAGTAATATTTTACTCCTTTGTGACACAAGAAAAAATATAATTTCCAGCTTTATTTTTTCAATTTGTAATTTTACTTTTTACTAAATGTTAAGGGTCGATTAAGGGTAATTATTCATATATTAATAAATTAATCCACAATTAATTTTATATCAGTACATAATTATTTATTATCTTAAATCGTCTAGAATTTATTTTTAAACGATTGTACGCACGTAAGATTTACTCGCGTGAAACTTCAGATTTTTTGCCTTTTAGCCAATCTCATCCCTGTATATATATAAGCTGCAACAGTTAAGGTTTCATATTGGTGTTCCTATTATGGCAGAGCACTTATGCTTTTACTGCATGCAAGTACATAATTTTTTGAAATGTACTAATTATGTTATTTGTAGGTATCATTTACTGGTAAATCAGGTGAAATGAAAGAAATGCAACAACTGTCTGGTGGTCAAAAATCTTTAGTAGCACTTGCCTTAATATTTGCAATTCAGAAGTGTGATCCAGCCCCATTCTATCTTTTTGATGAAATTGACCAAGCTCTCGATTCTATGCATCGAAAAGGTGTTTCAGGTCAGTTTATGCCTTCTTTACCTTTTTTCTCCTTCCTCTAAAGATGACTAATATTATTTAAACATAAGTAAATTAGGGAAATAGCAATAAGAGGTGGGAGCTATGTCTTATAATAATAAATAATGCTATGACGAGAAGAAGTTTTTTTTGTTAATTATTAATTTATTTGCATGTTGCAAACATTAAGATTTTACTGTTCATATCTAAGTTTTATGAATTTTCAAAAACAAAAAAAAACATTTTTAGTAATTTTTTAGTTTATTTCTGAAGCCCTTGTCCTCCAAATGTGTCTAAATCACATGTTTGTTTATAGAGTAAATTTTTTTAAAGAATATAAAATTTCAAAAGGTTTTATAGTTATGGGTTTTCAGGTAGATAAACTTACGTATTTAAAATTATGTATTAAAAGGTACAACTGAATGAATTATTATAACTTCATAAAAATCTAAGTTTTATAATCTATTAAACTAAATAATTCAAATTAGCAGGAAAGACATATATCAGACTTCCCATTTCAAATGTTCACAACATTGTTTTTTGTAATTTTATGCAAATTATTCGTTTTACTTATCTATTTTTTGTTGCTTAAAAAAGTACTTTTATGTTGCCAAATAATAACAGATTGCTGAAAAATATGCTAAAATTAAGTTTTCCTCTCTAAAGTTTTATTTTTTTGAATTGTAATTTTACATGTTAAGTTTTGGATACATTCATCTATAATGAACATGCAAATAATGCTCGTATCATGTATTCCCCTCCCCCTCTAAAAAAATACACTTTAGGAAATCAAATGCTAGGAAAGAGATAGAATTGTACGGTATGTCAAATTTTTTAGAAAACCAGTTTATTATTCTTAACTAGTATCAAAATTAGAGATTGTAAACAGGTATCACAGTGAACTGAAAGAACTATTGTAAACTTTTTTTCTGCTGCATCTTATAAAATTCCATCAGAAATATTTGCTTAAACATCTGTTAATTTTATCTGCTGGCTGCATCTGCTGCTGCCCTGTCACTGCAAACAAGAAAAAATATTTTGTTGATTTTTTTTTTGTTAGCTGTGCCATCTGTTAACAAACTTCATAACTAATTTTGAATTTGATTTTTAAAAAAATGTTTTTCTAAGCAATATAATGCAACAAACTGTATTTTTCTTCCTGTGCATAATTGATTTTTCAAGTCATCAGTCATTTTTAGGAAACCTTGTATCAGCTCTGTTTACTCTTTATAGTACAAGGCTAAAAATGAACAAGGTTCTGTTGGTTGAGGGAAATTTAAAAAAGCATGTGGCAACTAATCCCTAACACTCTTTACCACTCGCCTGTCGATCGAAAATGCCGACAGGCGGGTATAGGCAACTGCATGCCGAGAATTCCAATGTGGCACGCCCTAAAGAGGGAGCATTTCCAAATTGCTTAGTTAAGAATTTTAGACTCAATGCCGTAATATTTTGTGCAAACTTTTTATTGGGGTATTATAATTCTTTTCTAGTCACACTATGATTCTAGTTTTAAATATAAAGCTAGGTTTTTATGATTTATATTGAAATGTTTCTAAATTTATTTCCTTTTTTCATTTCTAGACATGATACATGAATTGTGCCAAGATGCGCAATTTATCACTACTACTTTCCGACCAGAGCTTCTGGAAAAAGCTGACAAATTTTATGGAGTGAAATTCAGAAATAAGGTATATCTTTAAGGTGTATCTTTACATTTATTTTATTTACTTCTACCTTAAGTATTGCCAATATCCTACATTTTTTTTTCATAACGACTTTTCTTTTTTAAAACCCATTTACCTTTTTTCCCTATCATTTTGTGATATTTTTTTTAATGTTTGGTGAAGTCTTATTTCTTGCTTAATCTTGTTTAATTTATTTTTATTGAGGTTTCGCTATTATCTTCTGGGATGCTACAATTTTAGTGTTTTTGATTTAAACAAATTCAATTTTATTTTTCACCAACTAGAAATCTCTTAGTATAAAATATACCTTCTCTATTTAATACAATTTATTCACGTTAATGCAATTTATGAATCACCTTCTAATTTCTATATTAACACCATTTAACTCATTAAATAAAAAATATAAGCAAGTAAAATTTCATTAAATGTTTCCACTTTTTATTTGTGATTAATTATGTAAAAGCTCACAACAACATTAAAAATCTATTATTGCAAAAACATATCGTATTAGACATGTAAAACGTTGGAAAACTAAAAAGTATACCCTTTATATGCACATTTTATGATTCATATAAATTATTATATATATTTATACTAAAAACAGCACATTTTTTCTTGCAATATTATTGGAACATACAAATATTGAATCAATGTTTAATCACTCTATTGCTCCCTTGATATACCACAGTTACCGTGTTACCTTCACCATATTTTTTCCCCTTGTAAATAGCTATGTTACATATTTACACGTTTTTAAAATAGTAATATTTTGAAAACATAGCATTACTGGAAAATTAGGTGAACTTTCCAATATGTGTCTGTTCAAATTTTGTGAGATGAATTTTTTAAAATACTTATTGAGAAAATAATGCATAGATGATTGTGCTCTGGAAATTTCCTAAAATGCAAGGTTCAGAAGTTTCAAGAAATCATTAATCACATTTATGTATAAAACATCATGAATATTATACATAAAAATATTAGAACTAGAATTTATACTTGGCATCACTTTCATCTGTAAATATTTTTTTCGGTAGAATAATAAATGTGATTAGAGATAAAAGTAAACTTAACAAAATTATTTATTTAAATTATGCTGCATATAATTAATTTAGAATTTCATGTTGTGAAAATATCAATAATTTAAATTTATAAAGGCATTAATTTTTTGAAATGCGTTTATTAATGATTATATTCAAGAAATTTTCAGAATTTTTGAGTTGGGGCTCATAATCACCCCTTAATATGAAAGTATACTTATAATGTTCTTGCCTTTTTATTTCAACATAATATATTGGTTAATGAAAATATTTTAAGGGACAAATTTGTTCATCTTTGCATATAATTTTGCTGTCATTTGATCCTATTTCACCATGCCGGACATGAATCTAACACATGTAAGAATTTTGTCTGTCTAGTGTTAAAAGAATAAAAAATTATTCTCTTATTAGCATATGTGCCATTATTATACAGATCTGCAAATTTTTTGCCCCCTCCATACAGCATAATTAACAATTCTAAAATTGGATAATTGGAACTAGGGAGCCATCAACAGATTAAACAAAAGTGATTGAAGTATCTTTTTTATTCTAACCAATTTTAGTTTCAGAATTTTTTAGGTCTTTTGAATGATATTTTAAAGAGGAAAAAAAAAGCTCTATTAAATAAATAATCGTATCATGAATTTTATTAAAGAGAATTTGGGATTATATATTTATTATTTTTAGATAATGAAATAAAATCCTGTATGATGGTGATTTAATGTTTTGCTGCATTTGAAGCTAGCAAAACACTTAAATTTAAAATTCTGAGTTCTAGATTTACTTTATATATTATAACAATTCTTTTAAATTGTTATTTGATTTGTATTCTTAAAATCATATTTCCAAAGTTTTGTGCTATCACGAAAGGGTCAATTTTTGTTTTCCAAAATCTATTATTTGCTATTTTCTCGTACAGGAATCCAACACATATAGCAGGGGTGGCCAAGCTCCTTGATAGTCGACCCATTTTTCAATATTTGAAATTTTTTGCGAGCCGCAATTAAATACGTATTTAAAAGGTATTTTAAAAAAAATTACATAAATTATATTTATTGAAGACATATATAAAAAAAGTAAAATTACAAAATATGTGTATTGAAATTAAAAATTAAACACATTTATTTTACTTCTTTTGATAATTCTTTAACGTTTTGTGAATATTTGGTGGCAGCACTTCTCAGTAATTCTTTGAAATGCTGCTTAGTAAATACTGATCGATGTTTGGATTTCACGAATTTTAAAGTGGAATAAAATGATTCACATAAGTACGTTGTTCCGAATATTGAAATAATTTGATTGGTAGCCTTTTTTAATTCAGGATACTTCGATTCTGGTACAAATTTCCAAAATTCAGTAATCGACGTCGACTTATATTTTCATTGTAGAGCTTGATCTTCTTGCATCTCTATTAATTCTACCTCTCCAGATGCTTTTTATGTCATAATTATATTAGAAATGGAAAACTCATCTTGAATTGAACAATGTTGCACTTAGTCTTTCATATTTGTTCTCAGTAATTTAAAAGACATTTTGAAACACATACGGAATGATAATAATTTTTTTAAATATAATAGCACAAAAATGAAAAAGGAACTCCAGTACATTTATCAAGAACCACAAATAATCCTTCAAAGAGCCGCATGTGGCTCGCGAGCTGCAGGTTGGCCCCCCCTGACATATAGGAATCTTATCACTTTTTGTCTTTTTAGTGTTAAAAGGTGATTCTTATTATTCTCTTACAGGTGAGTCATATAGAAGCTGTCACCCAAGAGGAAGCAAGAGATTTTGTTGAGGATGACACGCCTCACAGCTGAAAATATTTAAAAGGAAGAAGAGTTTTCATATCATCACTTGTATATTTGTCACCTCCCATTATTTCACTTTACTGAAGATATAAAGAGTTTAAAAAGCTTGTTATATTTTAGAATGAATTCTATTTCGCTTTTCTAAGATTTAAGTTGAAACCAGGTGTTCAGATAGCCATGAAGTGTTACTTGTTTTAAATTATTTGAAAGTTTTATGGATTATATATCATTGTACATATGTCATTTTCTCAAGTTGCTATTACGAAGGTTTATGCATTGTCAGCAATATTTTTAAATAACTCCATTTGATTAAATTGTGTTGTTGAAAAGAAAAAAAGTTAGAGCCTTATTGATTTGTGTAATAGGGTGGCCACTCTCTGAATTTTTGTTTGAGGGGGGAGGGGAACTGGAATTCTTAGATAGTTTTAAAATAAATTTGGAAAACTTCAAATGCTCTGGGAAAGTCACCATCAATTCTAGAGATTCTTGGGGTATTAGAAGTATAATGAGTGCATATAGTTTCACTGTGTGTTTCATCTATTATTACGCATACTGTTTTATATTACCATAAGTTAACCAGCATTATTTTTATAACACACTATTTTTAGTGAAATTTGCCACTAATATTTATTTTTCTTGGTCACAGTGCTACTTTAATACATAGTTCTTATTAATACTGATATCTTCTTTTAATACTGATATGTCTTCTTTTAATTCAGCATTTCTTTCTTTCATTTAAATTGAATTTCTTAAAACATTCTGATTTTCAGCATCTTTAAACCATATATTCAAATTTTGAACTTTAATTTAATTTGAACCTAAAATTAATAATGAATATATTAAATTGAAATTTTCAGTTTAATATTGCATAACTTTTGGGTGTGACATAAACTGTAGCTTGAAAAATTCACAATTATTATTTTTAAAAAATGTATTCATACATAAATTCTTAATACATATAAATATATGTAGGTGTCAATTTTTAAAAAATATTAAAAATACGCTAGTTCAAATCGTGAAAAATGTTTTACTCTCAGAGCTTAGGGAATTTTGTTTGTCTTAAAAGTAACCACCCTGTGTAAACAAGGAATAATTTGTAAATAAGGTTGCTTTGTCAGATACTTGAAATTCATGTTCACTGTTTATAATCCACTTGAGATTTCATCTTGTATTTTTATCACCTCATATTTCACACTTTCTTTAACTTTTACTAATATTGAGGATCATTTGCCTGTCTCTCGTAACAAAACTATTTCCTGAATTCTGTTATGAGGGAAGCACAGCAGCTGCATTTGGATAGTGAGCATTAAAAACTAAAATGTAATGCTGTCAACCAAAATTAAAACAGCAGTGTAGTCATTAAAATGCTCCATTTATTGTGATACACTTATGTGAAACTAATATTTAAATAGGGTGCAGATGGTAGAAATAAATTTAAAATATGTATCTAAACAAATATATTTAGCTAAGCAAACTTTTCATAATGCAAAAAAGGAGAAGAAAAAAGTTTTCCTTTTACCTTGAAAAGTTAACCTAATCTATTATTCAGGAAGCAAAAGTTGTTCGTAATTTTTGCGTAACTCTAATAATTGCCATTGGAACTTTGAAATATGATTTTTTGTTCAAAAATTTCTTTTTGAGTTTATTTGTAAAAATTTGTAATGATTCCGTTTCTTTGCAAACACTGTACCCAATAATATTAGCAATTTAAAATGGTTACAGTACTTTAAAAACAAAAGGCTGGGAATTTGATCAGTATTACAGTTACGGAATATTGCAAAATAAAGAAGAAAAGAGAAAAAAAATTTCTTCACATTTTGTATTTTTAATAATGACAGAGTTCAAGGATCATGTGTAGTGCATCCCTGCCATTACAAACATTTTTTTTTAGTTAGTTATGACCTAAATTAAGTATCTATGGAATTTCACTGAAATGGTGGATATAATTTAAAGCTAGAGGTTTAATCTAAGTTATACTTGTGAGTGCATTTTATTTTTAACTCACTGTGCATTTTAAATTACTTTTTATGGCAGATTTTTATATCAGATAGTAAGAAATAAAATATTCTAACCAAATTCTGATTGTTTTTTATCACCAACTCCATAAGGAATATTTCATTCATTGTATTTCTTTTAGGTGTTATCATGCCTGAATTTAAATGAGAGAGAGCTGTAAAAAGAACTGGGTTGCCACTCAATAGGAAAGACCTGGAAAATACAGGGAATTTAAATACTACCTAAAATAACAGTGAAAATGCAGAGAGCTTTACGTTTTTCCTTGCGAACTGGGAAAATACAGGGAATTGTATTTATTATTTTCATCTTTTGAAAATTACTGACCACTCCAAGTGCATTCTATGGGATATTTAAGGATGATATTTTAGCTGTACTATTTCACTTACTTTAGCATTGTTTTAAGTATGTTGAGCTATTTCATATTTCTCTTAAGTTTTCCCAGCTCTTAATTAAAACTAGTATAGCTAGCCCAATATGGCTCGCACAAGAGTGCAGTGATTGTGTATTTCTCTTAATATATAGTTTATAATATGTACAGGGCAAACACATGGAATTTTATTTTTACAGATTTGAGTGGCAACCTTGAAGAAATTCAAATGCATTTTTTTTATGAGGGCTTTTAAACTTACATTTTAAAATGTGACTATATGGAAGCATATTACGTGATTGTGGCATTAGTATCGTCAAATAAAACAATTGATATTAAATGTATAGTTTTAGCGCTGAGCTGAGAACCAAATCACTTGTTTTTTTTTAAAATCCTTAGCAGCTTGGCTAATCTGTGTATTAAAAATTAGTCAAAATGTTAGCAAAATCTATTTGCTTTCCCCTAGTTACTGATCTTAAATCAACTATTGCCTAAAACTACTGAAACAATTATTCTTTGTAAATTTAAGAATGTCAAGTAAGTAACAGAAATTCAACTCTTATTTATGAAACACAAATATCCAAGTTTATTTTAGTACATTAATGGATTCTTTAAATAAAATAAAATGATAGATAAAATAATAATTATCAGTGAAAATAACTTCATGTTTCCGGTATTATCATTGGATGTTTTAATGAAGGAGGGAAATATCTGTTTTCGGCTTTTCGGAAGGTATGGTCATTCATTTTGTTCTCGAAGAAGCATTTTGTCACAATTTGGCACAATGACAAGAGAGAGGAAGGACCTGACAACAGAAAGAGAGAAGATTTGTGTTCTATTAGTCTGTTGACATGTTATACGATATGAAGAGTACGAAATAAAGTCTATTATTATACGTTTATATTACGTTTTAGTTACTTAAGATTACGATAAATTAGATCCTGTATAAGCAGCGATTAAGAATCTTTATTGAGTAACAACAATTTATGTTCACTTATGGATCTTAATAGTTTCATATGGGAAATATTTAGACGTGGGAAGTGGAGGCACAAGTGTTCTTTTAAGTACATATATTTTTAGTTGAATAATTTTAACTGTTTTATGCCTTTGGGTTTTGTACCCATTTGCTGCTTGGAAGCTCACCTAGCTTTAATGATGAGTATCAGCTTGTTTAGGAAGTATAGGTGGTAATAAAAGGACAATGCTGACAATATAATCAATATAAAGTGATTAATAAAAAAAAGTTATGAAACAATGCTATCCAGTATATCTCAAACCATTCCAGTTGAAATATTTGCAGGGACAATTATAAATTTTGATTATACTGTTGCTTCAAACGGTAGTAAGTCATTTTGCAATCAGTATAATAAAGTCTTTTACTGTTCATCATCTGTTGACGAACTTGGTGAAAATAGATGTAGTTTCCTCAGTAGCAAACTGTGTGACGAGACGAAGTCCCCTGTGTGTCAGTAGCGCGGTCCCATAAAGAGATGTCCTTTAATGCTGGTCAAGGGGAAGGTCGTTTGCATCCATCTCTTCCTGAAGGTCACGGTTCAGAAAGGAGCTTATACAACATGAATTCAACGAAGAGGTTTAAAGAAGCAGTCTTGTCCAGTAGCCAGTCGAAACTCAGCGACTGCTTTTCGTCTTGGCCGCATAAGGAGATCTTGGAGATTATTCCAATAGATCTTTTTGGAATTTCTCTCTGTAATTTGGTTCCAAGTAATGACTCGTTACCAGCTATACCGCAGTGTCCACTGCAAGACAACTTAGAAACCCCAAAGTTTTTTGCACTCGAAGATGTTAACGGAGGCAGGAGTAGAATTTGAGTAACAAGGTAACCCCTTCAAAGCTATTCAGATGACAGTGTAACTGCGAATATTTCAAGTTTGTATCGAGAATATCTCTTGCCTGAGCATAAAAAAAAAAAAGACGTGTGAATTATATTTCTAAATTGGTGGACAGCTATACTCAAGATCAGCAAAAAAGCAACAACACACAAATAAAGAGGCCACTTTTTGTCATCATTTTGTTTGATACTTAATGCAATCCAGACTGGCTTCTTATGCAGGAGGTACACTATAAGGTTTTCTGACTCTGTTGCTCCACTTCAAAAAATTTGCTACCAGGTTACTTTTTTTCCCTAATGAAATTGGAAGCGAAAGCATTTTATATATCTTAAAAGGGACCATGTTCGCTAACGCTCACCAACCCTGATGATTACTTCACAATAATTGTTGTTTCTTGACATAAAACAGTTAAAATTATTCAACTAAAAATATATGTACTTAAAAGAACACTTGTGTCTCCACTTCCCACGTCTAAATATTTCCCATATGAAACTATTAAGATCCATAAGTGAACATAAATTGTTGTTACTCAATAAAGATTCTTAATCGCTGCTTATACAGGATCTAATTTATCGTAATCTTAAGTAACTAAAACGTATAATAATAATTAAACTTTATCTCTTATTCTTAATATCGTATAACGTCAACAAACTAATAGAACACAAATCATCTCTCTTTCTGTTGCCAGACCTGCTTATGCTAACTTCACACAATCAAAACTTACAATTTACTAACCACAAATGTAAATTAGCAAGTAAACATATTAATAAACACTCTATGAAAAATAAGTATTTTAAAGTCAGTTATCCTNCTAAAAATTACGCATCATGATTTGTATTTTCGCATTTTTTAAATTCGATGTAGAGTTTCATATTCACGTGATTTAAAAGCCTCATATCGGGATTTATAATCACATGGATTACAAGTTTAAACAAAAATTTGACAAAAAAAGTGCGATATATATATATATACTTGGATTTCCTCTTTTTTACTTTCTGACTACTCTCATCCCTGTGTTGAAGACTTTAAATCACCAGAGTCGACATCGACCTGTTTATCTTTTTCATTTGCTGTTGTGTCAAATGGAAACTGACTGACAGACAT